CATTGGTCTTTTAAAAATTGTTGAGTGGCTATATTAAAGATATTTGTTTCTTATAGAAGAATAATATCTAATCTATAAAGAAACATGTGTGTTATTTGTCTACGTACTATCTATTACCTTAATAAGTTTAATACTGTATCATATCTGTGAAACATTAACGAATTTATTTTTATTTAACAATAGAAAGTTACACCTAAAAACAAGAAAACGCTGTAGTAACGGTAAAACTGAAGACTAAATCGATCAAAAGAATGGATGAGGATCATTACTTTTTAATCTTTTGTGAGCTCTGAAAATTTTTTTTCGTGTAAAGTAGAAATGCAGAATGCAGGTCAAAAAAAAAAAAAAAAAGTTATACGTCGTATTACGATAATGAATGTAACAAATATATGTATTCTTAATATGAAATTCAAATTACCCAATTCACTCGAATTTGATAAATTGGCCCTTTCAAAGTTTCTGTCATTTATTTATTTTAGGCTAATATAACGTTGCACAGACTTAAATAATTACTCTTCTCTGTCTACGACTTTTTTCAAGCCCCATTTTTTTTCAATATGTCCTCCCTTGATGTCAATGCTTCAGAATCCAATGCTAATGATTTAGCTTTCTCAAAAGCTTTACATGACCATGATACTAATCGAAATGGTTTACTATCTACCATTTTATCAAAGGATAAAGCTACCTTTGCAACTGTAGTGAAGGGTTACATGAATTTTTGGGTTGAAAAAGATCCTATTAATGAATCTGAAGAGGTTAAAGAAGCGAGGAGAAAAAGTTACACTGAAATGACTAATTCTTATTATAACATCGCTACTGATTTTTATGAAGTAATTGTCTTAATTTTTTTATTATATCAATTTTTTTTTTTAAAAAAAAACCGAATTCTTTGCTTATGTTTCTTTTTTTAGTATGGATGGGGTGATTCTTTTCATTTTTGTAGGTTTTATCCCGGTGAAAATTTTTATCAAGCAATAGCAAGACATGAACATTATTTGGCAATGCAATTAAATGTAAAACCAAATATGAAAGTTTTGGATGTTGGTTGCGGCGTTGGTAAGAATTTTTTTATCTTTAATTTTGTGTTAAATATAAAATAATTATATTTTGTTTTTTTTTTTTTTTGGAAAAAAAAAAAAAAAAAGGTGGCCCAGCACGTGAGATTTGTCAATTTACAGGTGCTCACGTAATTGGTCTCAATAACAACGATTATCAAATTTCTCGGGCAAGAAAAGCTGCAGCAATCCGAGGTTTAGGAAACAAATTAGAATTTATTAAAGGGAATTTTATGGCAATGCCCTTTGACGATAATTATTTTGATGCCGTCTACGCAATTGAAGCCACTTGTCATGCGCCTTCATTAGATGAAGTGTACTCTCAAGTTTTTCGTGTCTTGAAACCTGGTGGCACATTCGCCTTTTATGAATGGTGTATTACTGATAAATACGACCCTACTAATCCTGAACACAGAAGAATCGCTCGTGGCATTGAGGTAATTATTATTATTTATGAATATATTTTTGTTTTTCCATTTAATGTTTAACTTTTTATATTCTTTTAAATAG